TACAGTGTGGGGAGAAAATAGAGAAGTCTGTACATTAATTATTTTTGGTCGAGTTTCGACCACAGGACGACCACTAGTATAAATAAATAGTCCACACATTTAAGATTTGAATTAATTTAAAATGAGACAAATGGTCAATTTACTGTCATTGTTAATGTCACAATGCCATTCACAAACAGCTGATCATGGAATATTGTCCTCGCTAATGTAAATAATAATGTTAATTCTAAAACAGCTGATCATTAGGAGAATAGAAAATCTTTATTTCCCAGGTCAGCCAACTTATTCATTATTCCACTACTTCTTACACAGTAGTCTTGGCGCATATACAGGGACTCCTCTCTTTCAAATATGTAGTGGTACCATCAGAAACGGTCGTCTATAGTTTACTATAGTATTTGTAAATATTAGGAGGTTGATTGGGAATTTGATAAAGAACAAAGTAATTTGTTGTTCGGTGCATTTCTTGTTGTATGGTTGGCACTCTGACTCAGCTGCTTGCTTGACGCTTGTCACCGTCACCTTCTGCCGAAAGCTGAACCGCTGCCGCTGAACGCTTTTGGAGCCGTGTGAAGTGGTGAACTGTGATCCGTTCACTGTTGTGTTGTGTTGTGTGTGTATTGAATCGTATGGGATTGTCACCGAAGTTTGTTGTCAATGTTTTCAAGTTGAGCTTTCAACTGGAATCTGCTTAGTTGAAAGTGGTTTAGCCAAGCCTCGCTTTTCGTTGAACAAGAGTTCAAGTGCCGTGTGCAAAACCAGTCTGAATTACGTGCAAATCCTTTCTCTTGGATCTTAGGTATGTTGGTCTAAAGAAGTTTTTATCGTTTCGCCTTTTTCTAAGGATCATTTACAAACTTTAAAAGAATAAGCCTGCCCATATTTTTAATAGAATAAGTTACCTCAATAGCCAATTTTATCCCTGCTGTTGAATAACTTGTGTCTTTTGATTATGGGAGTAGGCTTGGTATTTTACAGAGCAAGACGCAAATTAACCTGAAGATAATTTCAACTTATGCTAGGGTACCTACTCTTTCCTTAGATTTGTGTAAAAAATGTAACTTAGTTAGACTAGGCCTACCTATGCTCTCCCTGCTTAAGCCTATCATAGCTTGTTAGTTTTTCGAATGATCCGAACACTTAAATTAGTCAAATTACAGCCTTAACGCAATAAGTAATAATAACTTAAGTTAAGTTATATCTTGAATAAGGTAAGTTATATCTTGAATTACCGTACCATCTTCTTATTCGTTGATACTTAGTCATGAAAGTAAGGGGAATGGGCTAGTCTTGATTGGCCTGGATGTAGGCCTAACTTATAGGTAACTTAACTAAAGTTAAAACTTAAGAATAGCGGGTTAGGTACTACAAACCTTGGTAATTATTTACGCAGAGGATACGCGTCCGGTAACCGGACGTGGATTAGGCGTCCGGCAGTTACTGTCATAACCTAACCTAACCAACCAAACTTGCTGATAGTGAAAAAAATCAAATGAAGGTTCAATTCTCTTCATAACAAAAAATTATAAATGCCAAAAATTCTAACAAAAGATGTACAGTTAAGAAGAAATTACATTCAAAGCAAAATCTGTGACAAAAAGTTAAAGTTACCGATGGGTTTCGAACCGGGGACCTCTCGCATATCAGTCGAGCACTCTATCCACTACACCACGAACACTGATGGCTGAACATCGTATCATTGTGGTAATGGCGTTCCGGGACCCCCTACCGGACGCCTAATCCACGTCTGGTTACCGGACGCCTAATCCACGTCTGGTTACCGGACGCCTAATCCACGTCTGGTTACCGGACGCGTATCCTCTGTGAATTATTTATAGAAATTTTCATCCAAGGTCTGCTAGCTATGCAGTAGACCTATTTATAGGCACCTATCATTTTCAGCAATTTAAAACACATTAGGTATCATTCCTGTTCAATCAAGTATAGTTTGTTGTGTCTGTTCGTATAATACTGTAGTTGTTTTAGCCATCTCCTTGCAGACCATTTGCAGGCATGGACCAATGAATATGAATAGGCTATGCAGTGTTTATTTTGGCATGTCTGTGAACTGGAATTCCGGCCTATCTCTATAGTGCCTTCTTCATTATGATTTCATAAACTTTGGCGAACATAGTGCCAAAATTATTAGGTATTATTATTATTAAAGTTGATGAAATCATAATGAAGAATCAACTTGTTAGGCCTAAGCACTTTGAATCAAACTGCCTGTTTAGCGACTCTCAATATGGTTTTAGGAGTGGTAGAACCACCACTACTGCAGTTCTTAAGCATGTCACTAAAATAGTTGATGCCTTTGAAGAGGGAAATTCGGTTGCACTAACTAGCCGATTTAAGTAAAGCTTTCGATTGTGTTCCCTACAATCAACTGCTAGACAAGTTGTGTTTGTATGGCGTTAGAGTGCCAGCACTGCATGCCTTTGAATCCTATCTCTCAAAATCAAACACAGATAATGGCTGTAAGAGGGGCAAACTCACAACCACTGCCAGTTTTAAAACATGGAGTGCCCCAAGGATCTGTGTTGGGCCCTGTGCTATTTTTGGTGATGGTGAATGACCTCGGGCAGCTTGGTAACGTCTTGCTTTTTGCAGACGACACGACCATCTTTGCAGAAGGAAGTACTCCTGAGGAAGCCAAGGTCAGAACTGAACAGTCTTTTGAAATCACTAAGAAGTGGTTCAAAGAAAATAAGCTCTGTCTAAACGGATGTAAAACCCAACCCATGACCTTCAGTCTGGCTCGAAATCGTATTCCTAGCAACGTGCCTGAGGTTAAGTTTTTAGACTTCACTATCGACCCCAAACTCACCTGGGAAAATCATACGATGAAAGTTTGCACTAGGCTTGCGAGGGCATTGCATCTTCTCAGGAGGCTCAAACCCATGCTGACAAAGCAGTACTTGCTGACTGTTTACTTTGCTTTGTTCCACAGCCATCTCAGATATGGGTTGGAAGTTTGGGGCCATGCAGCTGGTTGTAAGGATGTAGGGACTTGTGATACAAAAGAAGGCGGTTAGAGTCATTTCATCTGCTGACTACGACGAACATTGTAGACCTCTATTCAGAAACCGTAACATCCAAACAGTTTACAATCATTACATTATTATCACCCTAAACGACTTAAAGACCAACATTGCCAGTTTTGCATTGAGAGAATACCTACATGCTCACAATAAGAGGTCAACATCCAACCTTGATATTCCTTTCTGTAGACTGAACAAAAAAAGAACAGTTTCCCTATGTTGGCTGTTAGGATGTACCTACAACCAATTGCCCCCAGTAGGCCTACTTGCAAAACCTTCGAGCCCCAGATTTTAAAAATCAACTGAGAGAGTGGCTGCTGGCAAAGCCCATGTACTCCCTGGAAGAATTTGTTGAAATATGCGTCTAGTCTAACCTGCCGCCAAAACTGCAAAATATAAATTTGTTAATATGTATATGCTAATCATAAATAGTTTTTGACTCTGTCTATCCAGCAAGAGCTGGTCATGGACGTCGAGGGAGGTAATTCAGGTAGCCTAATTCAAATCTTAGGCTGGTTTGCAGCTTACCTACTAGCTTTTATTGGACCAATAAACTCTCAGTGGCGACTTTTACCTTGCTTACTAACCAGTGCAATGCCATATACCTACTTCAAAATGTACAAACTCTTTATCTTGTGTGGATGCATGCTTGTAGCCTATTACAACTATTGTTCCGATTCACCAGTAAAATATTTGTCTTGAAATAATCACTTTTTTACGCTAGACCAAAGTTAATCTGTCTTATGTAGGCAGGAAATTTCATGAATGAAAAAATCCCACCCGTACCGGTACGTAAGTTAATACGTCACCCCTCTAATATTGGGATTTTAACATCGTCCCTAAGTCCTGATGCTCACCTGGATGCCATTAGTAGAAGAGCAAACTCTGTTCTTGGTTTTATTATCAGAGTGTCTACAAACGGTTTCTCACCAGAAGTACTAAGGACTCTTTACGTATCAACTTCTCCGCCATATCTTTGAGTACTGTTCTTTAGTGTGGTCATTGTATTAGCTGGGCCACGTTGATCTTCTTGAGGGGATACAAAGACGATGTCTTCCAATTGTTGGCACGCAGCTTGGCTTTCGCTACGAAGATGTGCCCTTGGACGACCTTAGCCCCCTCCTTCGTCTTCAACCCTTGACTGTCAGGCGTAAAGTCCCTGACCTAATTTTTCTGAAGATCATCTCGGCTACAGTGGACTCACCTGAATTGTTGGGAAGAATTTACCTTCGAGTGTTAAAGTCAACAAGAACAAAACAACTGTTTGAGAGGGGGTATTGCTCTACACAATATGCATACCACAGCACTTTACCTCACCTCCATCGCCTTGGAAACTGTCTTCCTGACCACCTGGACTTTTTCTCCACGACTGAAGAGGTTTTTAGAAATGGGCTGAAGAAATTCTTCTCTTACCAGTCGTCAGTAATACTTTGCAATTTGATATGTTTCTTTGTTTGCTAAATATCTTTGTATTTTCCTGTTTTGTAATAGGCTATATTGATTTCGGTTTGTTGAGTCTCTTCTACTGTTAGGGCCTACTTGTTTTTGCATCTATATTATTGTTAGCTAATTACAAAACTTGTTGTTTACCTTCTTGATCGTTAATAGTTATATTGTTATTTATTGGCAAGATTTATATATTTAATATTAGACAGACGGGAAGGCTAAATATTAATAAGTCCATTTTGTTAAGTAGCCATTTAATAATAGAGCGAGAATAGTATAAAGACAGAGTATAAAGACATCATTGATTATAAAATTATTATTAACTTAACTAACACATATGCGGCATTTATTGTTGTTGATTGCAGTATGATATTGATATATTTTTATTTAAATAATTTGTTGTCTGTTCTGTCTTCATATGTATGAGATGTATTAAGTCTGAAATTTAACGTTTTGCTAAATGGAGTTTTTCATCAATAAAAAAAAATATAAATAAATATTGTGGTTTTGCAGATATACGGGATGGGGAGGTATACAGGGAAAAAATGCCGCCTTATCTCAATGTTCTGGTTGACAACATTCTTCTTCTTGGTGGAGATTGTGGTTGGTTACGTCACCAACTCCATGGCCCTCGTTGCAGATAGTTTCCACATGCTGAGTGATGTTGCGGCTCTGGTTGTCGCCTTCCTCTCCGTCAAGGTAGGCCCTAATTAACTAAAAATAAGTCCATGAAAATTTACTAATTCTAGTAGGTAGTAAGATATTATTGAGTACGGTAAGACATTTAAAGACTTTTCAGTTTATGACTTGAATTTAAATGCATCACGGTTGCTCAATAGGAGTGTTTTTTAATTCCCGAAGCCAAGGAATTAATACCATTCCACTGCTGTTAGGTACTGTAGGTCCTTAATCGGATATATGAGTGAAATCACTTATGTAGCAGTCTCTATAAGCTTAGGCCTACAGTAGATGGATTTTTTGTTACTGATCCGTTATAGGATGGCCCAAGTCTACCCAAAATACAAAAATGGACCAACGATAGAAAGAAACACCTACAGGCCAATCTCCCTAATATCAACATTTTCAAATATAATCGAAAAGATAGTATTAGCCCAACTCCTACACCATCTTCAAGAACACATATTATTGTTAACCTTCTCAATAGTCAACAGCATGGATTTATCAAAGGCAGATCGACAGCCACAGCCTTAATACAACTGACGGAGCACATACTAGACCAACTAGAAGAAGGCAGCACTTCAACAAGCCTCTTCCTAGATTTTAGTAAAGCTTTCGACTGCCTAAACCACGAACTTCTTCTACTCAAGCTGGAAACACTAGGCGTGAGAGGAAGAGCAGCAGAATGGTTTAAAAGCTACATTAGTAACCGGAAACAGCTTGTGGAAATAGCCTACATAAAGAACAATACAAAGTATAAGGCCCAATCCAAAGCTGTAGACGTGCAAAGAGGAGTACCCCAAGGATCAGTACTTGGCCCAGTCCTTTTCCTCCTTCTCACGAATGACCTACCTAGTTGGATTGGGGAAGATGGACACACCACCATGTACGCAGATGACACGGTTCTCACATTTGCGGACAAAACAATGGAAAATCTGGAAGAGAAAACCAACACACAACTCCAGAGAACAAAGCAATACTGTACCTCCAACGACCTAGTTCTAAACGAAAGCAAACCCGTTCAAATGACTTTCACCACCAAACGCAACAACACAGACATTACAATACCGGGACTACAAACACAAAATACCACAAAATACCTAGGCATCATAATTGACTCCAAGCTATCATGGAAACCCCACATAGACCAGCTCTGCAAAAAGCTAAGTTCAAGTCTCTACGTTATACGTAGGATCAAGCAAGCTTGCAGCCCAGAAGTAGCCAAAGTTGCATATTTTGCTCTATTCGAGTCCCACCTCAGATATGGCATTGCGACTTGGGGTGGAACATCAAAAGGCAACCTGGAAAGAGTACTCCTAAAGCAAAAAAGAGCAATTAGATGCCTTGCCGACCTGAACTACAGAGACAGTTGCCGAGAAGCCTTCAAGAACCTTAAAATTCTCACATCAATTTCACTCTACATAAGAGAAGTCATTATCCACACCACTAAAACAGCCCAGCTAAGACACAGAGACATACACCAGCACAACACACGACATGCCGCCAATTTTTCCCTCCCACAACACCATCTGAGTCTGTACGAGAAGAAACCATCCTACAAAGGTGCTCTGTACTTTAACAACCTACCAGAGCACCTCAAGAGAGAACAACCCAATCTGCTCAAGAAGCACCTGACAACATGGCTTTTGGACCGGCCGTTCTACTCTGAGGATGAATTCTTAAACAATAAGCTACCATGAAAAAAAGAAGAAAAAAATTCTAATTGTAATTGCAAATTACTGTAATAGTTTACGTACATACTGTACATTTTATGTACCTGATGCATGAATGTTCTCTATGAATATTTCAATAAAGATTTTGTCTATTGTCTATTGTCTATTGGCTACCTCATTTTGTAACCTGCTGCGGTAGTTGAACCAAGTCCAGTAGGCTAATTATATTTTCAATGACCTATCATTAGTCTATACACTTTAACAATATCAACACCAACATTAACCACTCACCGACTGAAATGAAATGATTCAATAATTTTGTCAATGAGATAACAATAACCAATTGATCTGACACTCGCTAATTTTGCAGGTAGGTACTGTGAAGGATGTAGGCCCACTGGAAATTTACATACTTTATCTTAAATCTTATGTAAAGCACCTGTATATTCTGTGATCCTGTGGTCGTCTTAACATGATATAACCACCTATAATACTTCATAAATTAAATATAAAAAATAATTGATTGAGCCGTTAAACACAAACAGGCAATATGCTGTCAGAGAAAAGTAGCATATGTTAATGGAACTTTTTACAGCAGTATAAATCTTTTTCACAGAATAGTAGTGGTTGTCTAACAAGCTAGACTTGATTTTCTTCTGGAATAGTTTTCCTGCTAGGGTTTTAAGTCTGCTGGTAACTATTAAACATACTTAAAACAGTTAGTGGGAAGCCTTTTAGTGACTTTGATAGCACCTATGAACATATTTTAGTATCATTCTGATTCTTTAACATCCTCCTTCCTTACACGTAATTACACATATTTGCCTTAATTCTATGGATAAATTTCAGAATATACAAATTAGTAATTATTGTAAGGATATGGGATTCGTGGAAAAATGGCATACAGTGCTCTAGGGGTCCTGCCCAGCTATAATACTTTTCCGATTTGTTTTCCACTCTCCTCTTCCCTTACCTGGAACCAGAGGTATTGGTTGTATATAGAGATGGGAATTACCGTTGCCACACTTCGTACAGTTCTCGTGTACGTTAAATTCCGGCTGGAATGGAATGTTTTCTCACATTTTATTATTTTAAAGACTTTTTGTTGCTTTCAGGACTTTGATCCTGACGGAACTGGTACAGTAGATCAATTCATAAGCCAATGAGCGCAGCGTTACAATTTAGGGTATTCTGAGTAACGTGTTATCTTGATAACAGGTTACAATTTATTAACAGTGTTATTTACCCTGTTACGTTAAATAACGCCCATCTCTAGTTGTATAAGTATACTCTGAACAGTTTGGCTATACACAGTTTGGTTTGTTCAGATGTCACCCAAGAAGTGGTCCAAGAACACGTTTGGTTGGGCCAGAGCAGAAGTGTTGGGAGCTCTAGTCAATGCTGTGTTCCTCGTAGCTCTTTGCTTCTCCATCACAGTTGAAGCTGTCAAGAGGTAAACAATGCGTTTTCAGTTTTATTTACTAGTTTATTTTATTCAATTAGATAACTTGTTGAAGACTGTTGAATGGTTATGTGATAAATTCATGAAAACCCCATTAAAAAATCTAGTTCATGTCTTAACACACTTAAAATTTTAGATTAAAAAATGTTCCTACAGAGACCTATATGTAGAGACCTAAATGTAGATTGTTTGTTACCTATACAAAATACCTAATAAATCAATCTATAAATACAGGGTGATTCAAAAAGGACTTTACAACTTTGAAAATTCATATCAATCTCATTAAACAAGGTACAGAGATGGTTTTGGTATTGTTTTAAAGGAAAACACTTCAAGTTTTTTTACCTTAAACTAAAGATGTTCTATGTGACTTCCGTTGGATTTGGGGAAAATAATTATTTAGGTATGAAAAAATAGTGAAAACTGTTAAAAATTTGAGGGAAATTTACAAAATTTTGAAAGTAGGGCTTTTTTTGACGTGGAAGGATTGCGATACACCCACTTCTAGATGTGCTAGGGAGTTGAAATTTCGCACACTTGTAGTTCTTGGTCCCAAACCACCCATAAAATTCCAAAAAGTCGCATTTTCAACCCCCCCAAAAATCCAAAATGGCGGACCTCTGAAAACGACAAAACACGTTTTTTTCAAACGGCTATAGCTCGAAAACGGTAAGAGATAGAAAAGATTTGAGGAGAAAACGTAGGTTCGGAATTAAATTTCCTACAAGACAATACTTATGCGTTTTTCGAAAATCGCACTCCTTCACTGTCAAAAAACGCCCTCCTTTCAAAATTTTGTAAATTTTTTGCGGATTTCACTATTTTTTCATACCGAAATAATTATTTTCCCCAAATCCAACGGAAGTCACATAGAACATCTTTAGTTTAAGGTAAAAAAACTTGAAGTGTTTTCCTTTAAAACAACACCAAAACCAGCTCTGCACTTTGTTTAATAAGATTTATATGAATTTTCAAAGTTGTAAAGTCCTTTTTGAATCACCCTGTATTTTTGATCCATGCAATTGCTACAAGCGAAATTTACAACTGTTTAAACAACTGCTGGTTTTTACTTCCTTGGGACTAAAAAGGCTTTTAGGGGGTAAAAATGCTGCTTTAGACCTGCAACTCATGTATAAAAAACTGATGTTTTTGCTGCAGCAGAGCAGTATGGCGAAGGAGATAAATGTGTATTTCCTTCATTGTAGTGAATGACGAGTATAGAATTATTCATAATTAATTTGCATTGTTTTGTTCATTCATCAATGTACATGTGGAGTGGTTTGTTGTGTTACAGGTTCATAGAGGTGGAAGAGATCCATGAGCCCAAATTGATAGTGATTGTGGGAGCCCTTGGACTCCTGGTCAATGTCATCGGACTCTTTCTCTTTGCTGGTGAGTGTCTTGTCATAATGAGTAATTTGTTTTGATTAGTGTTGATTAGAGACTTTTTCCGTAAACTGATAGATATTAACATACTTACCTTAACATCTTATATTAACATCTTGTACCTTATTTGTATAACTTCATTGCCAAATATTCTGATGTCAGCCAAAAAGGAATTAGTCATTTAATCAGATCCTTGGAAACTGGTATTGGTAACCAGTCGTCAAAGTTTGAACTGATTCCAATACCAGTCAGGAAGGAAAATCAAAGAGTAATCACTAATGTTGATGGGAAAAAAGAAAGATCTCTTGAGCAGAGAGAACTATTTCTATTTTAAAAATCTCCCTGTACAAAAATCCAAAGTATCCCAAAGAGGAGTCTGGTGTCAATAAATAAATAAACATGATTTTCTTAAAGCAGAAGGCCAAATAGTGATATTGTTTTTGGTACTTTGGTATTATCCGGAGGATACCTTTTTACAGTGTGCTGCTGTGGTTATGTTAGGTAAGGGTGGCCTCCTGATGATATCAGAGTACCTTGTTATTTTACAACAATACGAATTAAGCAAACAAATAGCTTAATGGTTTTTATCTTTCAAGGCTTTTTCTGAGACGCCTACAGAGTTAATTTTTTTAACCAAGCCTTTAAAGAGCAGCTTACTGTAAACTATGAAAGTACAAAATATGAGGGGAAAAATATAATAATTTTGTTATAGCACACTATGAGTAGATATTTTAACTATGTTCTAATTAAAAAAAAAAATAGTTTTAGCTTGCACATAAATGGGATATCTACTTCAGTATCATAAAGTCAATCATTTAACTGTAATTTAATGGGACAGGTATGTTAACGTCTTATTTGTTTACAGAACACGGAGGTCACGGCCACTCTCACGGAGCCATTGCACACAGCCACACACGACTTACCCAGCTGGTGTCGGTGGGGGCGACAGACGACAATGAGAATGACGAGACATTCCGCCCTCCTCTGGAGAAGGAACACAAGACTCCGACTGCCGATCAGATGAACATGAGGGGAGTGTTCCTACATGTGCTGGCTGATGCTCTGGGCTCAGTCATTGTCATTGCCAGCGCCACGGTAATTAT